TTCTCCAGGTGCTGGGCGGAATGGAGTATACCAGCTAGAAGGATCCAAGACGCTCTTGGCCCGAAGGGTCCTGCGGGTCGTTCGAGCCGTCGCCTTGTGGTAGATTTGCGACCTATCCCCCCCCGACGCTCTCGGGCGCAGTGCCAGACGCGCCCAGGGCCCGTGGTATCCAGATCACCCCGACGTCATGATTTTATCATGGCGTCGACCCCCAGAGTTATCGACCCGTTCCCTGGGACCTGTTTTCATCCTGCGTCGTTCTTGGACAGTCCCGAGGCCTGGCAAGGGCCCCCAGAGGCCGACAACACTGAAAGACCACACGCTGTAATTTGTTCATGACTCGAGGGGGTCTGGGTAGGGGGCTGAACTCCCCAGGCGTCTGGCTCGACCCGCCTGGGCCCGCCGTCCTCGGCGCCGGACCCCGTGGGCACCGGCCCGCCCCTGCCCACGCGGTCCCCCATGCGAGCTGGGCCCACGACGCCCGCGTCCGGCACGACGCGGCTGGGCCCGACCTCGCCGGTGCCAGACCCTGTGAATTTGGGCCCGACGCCGCCGCCCAGGGGCCACAGCCGCACAGGGCCCACGCCGCCCGCCACAGGGCGGACGAGCCCTGGCCCCTCGTCGCCAGCCTCGGACCTCCTGCACTCGGGACCCCCGCCGCCCCTGCGGAGCCCCCTGCGGCCGGGGCCCCCGCCGCCCGCGTCTGGCCCGACGAGGCCTGGGCCGACGCCCTCCGCGCTGGACCCCTGCAACGCGGGCCCGCCGCCGCCCACGCGGAACCACGGGCTCCCTGGGCCCACGCCGCCGGCCTCGGGCACGTCGAGGTCGGGCCCGTCGCCCTCGGCGTGCGACGCGGTCGGCTCCGGCTCGCCGCCGCCCCCGCGCAGCCACCTGCGGCTCGGCCCCACGCCCTCGGCGTCTGGAAGGCTGCGCGTGGGCACGCCATTGCTGGCGCTGGACCCCGTGCAGCCAGGGCCGACGCCACCGCCGAGAAGCCTCGTTTGCTTCGGTCCCGCGCCGCCTCCGTATGGCACCGGGGAATTCGAAGGTTCATCTTGGAGTGGCAGGGGTGGAGAGGGAATCAGGGGCAACGTTAAGGGGGGATGGGCTCAGGGGGGAACGCATCGACCCTTAGTCGCCCAAGGTTCGCTGGTAGGGACCCGATGGCCCAGCCGTCCACGAACGTCCGGATTCGCCATCGGGGACCTGTCGCCCTTCTATCGGTGATGTATCGCCGATTCTAGCTCGATGTTTCCCACCTTGGGCTGGTCCCCGCCTAACGTTGCCCCTCAACGTTTCTTGGAGACCTAGGGGTGGAGAGCGAAAGGACGTAGCGGACGAGAGGAGGGGAGAACCTGTTTTTGTTGATGCTTGCTCTGATGCCACTGGTGCCCCACGTTTGTGCTGCTGTGCTTTCAGGGCGGGGGTAACGGATGTGGTGTGGTGAGTCCTACAACGAGGCTGCAGGTGGCCCACGTTGACCATGGATCATCAGCAAGTTTGGGGGCGGGAGCCCTGGAGGATAGCTTGCGGGCTCTGTATAGGCATGATGCGCCCTGGCCCGACGCCGCCCATGCTGGACCCCATCCACCTGGGCCCGCCACCGCCTTCGCGCAGCCTCACGCGCGCGGGCTCCACGCCGCCCGCGTACGGCATGAATCGGCTTGGGCCGACCCCGCCGGTGCTGGACCCCCTGCACCCTGGTCCGCCCCTGTCGCCGCACAGCCACCTGCGGCCCGGCGCTCCAGCGCCAGCGTTCGGCACGAGCCGACTGGGGCCGAGCCCGCCTGCGCTTGACCCCCTGCACCCTGGCTCGCCGCCGCCCCCGCGGAGCCCCCTGCGCCCTGGCTCGCCTGCGCTGCCCTATGGCATGCAGAGGCCCGGGCCGCCGCCCCTGGCACTGGACCACGTCTCGCCGGGGCCGCCGACGTCGCCCAGGTCGCACGTGCGGGCCGGCCCGACGCCACCGCCCTCCGGCGCGCTCCGCTCTGCGTCGACGCCGTCGACACCGGACTGCGCGAACTTGGGCGCCCCGCCCCCGCTGCGGTCGCACCTCCGCGCAGGCTCTCGGAAGCCTGCCCCTGTGCTGCAGTCATGCGTGCAAGCCTCTGTCACGTCCCCAGACATTCTCTCATTTTTTGATTCAACCCGCGGCCCCCGAGCTCCCGACCCCTCCCCCAGAGGCCGAAACGGGTCCCAGAGGCAAGAGCTGAGGAGAGGCGCCTGGACTGAAACGATGCTCTCGTCGGAGATCTGCGTCGCGTCGGATCGCGCCGCCGCGATCCAGGGCCACCCTGGGCCCCAGGAGTATGTAGTACAGACCGTCCCGGCCGAGGCCAGCGTGATGTTCACACCAACCCAGGGCCCAGGACAGCCCCGGCCGATGTTGTCGCGGGCAAGAAAAACAGGTCCGCATCCACCGCTGAGATCCTGGCGCTGCGATTTTTTCACAACGGGCGTTTTTGCTCAATTTCGGCCGTGGGACCCTCACACATTGATCTGGCTCGAAAAAACGCAGAAAGAGATGGGGCTCTTGGCGTGATTTTCTGCGATGTTGGATCTCTTGTTGCAGCCGGATCTGAGGGACGGTCTCGCGCGCGGAGCGTGTCCGTGCGACCGCGTATCCGCGGGATCGCTCCCCGGAATCGTGACCGCGGAGCCGTGGGTATGGATATGTTCGCCGCGTGTGATGGTGGTGATCTCCTCGACCCCCGACGTCGTGATTGTTTCGCAGCGTGGACACCAGAGATCTCGACCCCTTCCCCGGGACTGGTTGTCCACCCCTGGAGCAGTGTTTTGACGGTCCTGGAGCCCGGCAAGCGCCCCAGAGGCTAACAATGAAAGTTTCCGCCGTGATCTTCGACTACCGCCAAGGGGTCTGGGACAGCTGCCTTCCCTGAGACCCGTCGCCGCGAACAGAGTTGAAACAACGTGATGACATCGGAGCTGGAGCCCTGGACCCCAGCTTCCTGCAGCAGCTCTCGAGCCACATCGATCTGTGTGGGCCCCACGGGGCGGCCCGAGCCTGCGCCACAACGCCGGGCGTTGAAAAACCGACGACGCTAGGATGTCGGGGCCCTGAGGGCTGGCTCGAGCGGTGGCGGAAGGCTGGCCCCGCAGACCCCCGACGTCCTGATTTTTTCATGCCGTCGACCCCCGGAGGCCTCGACCCATTCCCCAGGACCGGCTTTTCGTCCTGAGTCGTGTTTTGACGGTCCCGAGGCCCAGTAAGGGCCCCGAGAGGCCGAAGACAGTGAAAAGCCTCCCGTCTTGATTTTGTCATGACTCGAGGGCGTCCGGCTCCGGCTCCCCAGGCTCGTTCTCGCCCGCGTCCGGCATGACGCGATCGGGCGCGCCCCCGCTGGCGCTCGACCTCTTCAGCCCGGGCCCGTCGCCGCTGCCCCGCAGCACCCTGCGCACGGGGCCTATGGCGTCGGCGTACGGGACGACGCGCTCGGGGCTGCCGCCTTCGGCCCCGGACCTGGGGCAGACCTCCGTCTCGGGGTGGGGTGTGCTCAGCCCACCGCCAGGGGTGCTCATTCTTCGGGGCTCAAGGGACGGGGGTCAATTCAAACGGGGGTCAGTCAGAGCGCCGGATCTTGCAGGATCCTGCAGGGCCAGGGTCGCACTGATCCGGGCGTGAGTGCAGGATCCTGCAGGATCCTGCAGCATTTTGCAGGATCCTGCAAAGCCTGACTTACCCGGGTTTGCATTGACCCTGGTCAGTGAGTCTCCGAATTCCTGCCCCTCCCTTGTCCTCTCTGCATTCCCATTTCGAGGAAGAATGCATGGTATTAGCATGAGCTCTCGGAGGTCCGCGCGGATTTCTCGGATCAGCGTTGGGCCCCCCTGGCGGCGCTTCTGGCGCCGCCACTGGCGCGCTCCGCGCGCCAAGAATTCGGCGCCGAGCTTCGAACGTGTGTGTGTATATATATATATATATATACACATATGTATATATATACTCACATGGTATACATATATTCTCATGCGCACCTCTCCGATGGAATAGAACTCAGAGGCGATTAATTGAAGGCCGCGCCGCGTCCGCGATTTTTCTGGCCGTTTCGCTAGGGACATCCTCGACATTCTGAGAATCGGTGGCACCCTTTGCATAGATCGTGACGTCCGGGTCCAAACATACATGGGAATTTCATCATTCTAAAAAGCATTCAAAAACACAATGTACTTTCAATGATTTTGACCCCGATTCTCAAAGAAAGGCGGTTTCGCCTGAGACATCCTCCGAAAATCGAGCCCCGACGTAGCTTCTGGTACCCCAGACCCCGCCTCGGAGCCTCCTGGGAGCCTCCTGGAACCTCCTGGGGCCTCCTGGAGCCTCCTTGGGCCTCCTGCGGCCTCCTGAGGCCTCCATGGACATCCTCGCAACCTCGATCCCAGACGACCCCTCCTGGGACCTCCTGGAATATTTTCCGGCATCCTGGTCGGGCCTCCTGAGGCCCGTGGTACACACATCGCAAGGTGTGGCAACCCCGCTTGCGCTCGAGTGATCCGATCCCGCCGTCATGGTGTCTTCCTGCTCCCAACGACCTTTCAGTTTTTTGTTTGAGCCTGGGCACACACGTGCCACTTGTATATACAGGCACTTGTATTGATGTGAATACGATCGGTATATATATATATATATATATATATTGAAACGTTTTCCAAACAGCTGTGCACGCCCTAAGTGCAAGCCGCTTGCGGATGGAATGGGTCCGTGTGTGATCCGTTCCATCGCCGTCTTTGCTTAATTTTTTCGGGCGGCACCGCCATCCCAGCCTGTATGGGCATCCTCGGTTTCTTGAGTAAAGCCGCGCGGGGCGGCATTGCCATACTTGACACTCTTGGGCCGAGCCTCGGGTCGCTGGCGGAGGAGACATCCAACTGTGCGCTCGCTGTGGGCTCGTTTGGAAGCATCCGAGCGTTTGTGATTCTGAGCTTGATCACCGGCTTCTTGATCGGGGTTGGCCTGACGCTCTGCTGTTGCCTCTCTGGCCATGTCCTATCTTCGACTTGGGCGGCGCGTGCGCATACAGTGGGAGAGGGGTGGCACCTGGCAGGATCGGATCTTGCTGTGCGAGTGCCAGAGTTCAGAGTGCGAAGCCGAACTAGAGTTGACCCCCAGCGAGGAGGAGATCCTCGGCCGCCGCGTGTGGTATGCGCTCACACCGGACCTGGACGTATACCCCCATATCTTGTCGGAGACGCAGCTCGTCGGCTTCGTGGCTCTGACGAACGACGGGCCGCCGATCTCGGAGACGGGGTTTGGGAAACGGTGGAGGGCAGCGAGTGCGGCATACGGCGCCGACTGGGAGCCGACCGCGCTCGAAGTCTGCGAGGCGTTGGATGCGGTGAGGCCAGGGTGTCTGTCGCCGCAAGGCGACGAGAAGCCATCCAGGCGTTTGAGGGGGAAGGTGTCTTCGAAGTCGACTCCAGCGGCAGCGGCGGCAACTAACGTAGTGGAGGGGCTCTACCCAGGTTTGCTGGCTGGGACAGGTGCACTGCCCGACGTCGGCGGACTCAGCTGGTATGACCTGTCGGCGGATGACGCCACTCAGCTTCGCCAGGCGGTGAGATCTAGAGACTTCGACGGCTACCTGATTGTGGACAAAGTCGGCATCGCGACCAAGGGGACCGAGTGTCTGCTGGTCAAGGCCGTGGACCCCTCCGCTCCAGGCCCCGAGCTCGAATCGGACGCGCGGGTGCTGGACATCAAGTCGCGGCCGGACGGCAGTCGGCATCGACATTTCACGGAGACTGCGCGCCAGGTCACCACCACGGAGTGGCCCGAGTGGCCCATCCTGGGTCCAAGGACGGCGTCCTGGTGCCTGGAGTTTCTGGCGCGCCAGGACCAGCACCCGCGTGCGCGGCGCGCCAAGTGGGTGCATGAGTGCCGGCCGGAGGCCACGGACGAGGGCGTCGGGGGCCATGACCTCCCGATGCGGATGGCGGAGTTGGGCCTCAGCTTCGACCAGCTGAACCTCGGGGGGGAGCTGGCCTCTTTCGAGCTCTTGATGAGGAAGGCCCAGATGGCCGAGTGGCGCCATCGTGATCGACTCGCGGCTGTCCAAGGCGACGACCTGATGGAGGAGAGCTACCTCCATCTCGGCACGGGAGAGACGCGCGGCTTGGTGATGGTGGCGCTGGCTCTGGTCGACCACATTAATCAGGAGATGCATCGCGAGGCGCAGATCCTCAAGGGGCGCCGCAAGGCCAAGGGGGAGAGTTTGCTCTCGTGCGGCGGGGGCGGTGGAGGCATCGCGGGCTCTAGGGGGTCCAAGGCGGAGTTGCGCAAGAAGATCCAGCAACAGGCCGCCGAGTTGAAGAAGCTCCAAGACAGAGGTGCAGGGAATGACCAGGCGGCCGGCCGCGGGGCCGGCCAGGGCCAGTGACCCAGCCACCTGGGCTCGCGCCCCGCGAGCTGCTGCCCCTGAGCGGCTTCGCGGCGGCGCGAGGTGCCGACGGCCCCGCTGGGCTGTCGAGCTCGGCGCGCTCGAGAGTGCGCCGCCGCCTGCGCGTCGCGAACTGGATCGCCGACGCGGTCGAGAGCTTGAGCGCCCTGTGCGGTCGCGGTGGCGCCCGAGATCACTTTTCTGTTTCAGCTGGGCAGCGACGCAGCCTGGAATTCATGCAATCTATCATCAAGCAGGCAGGCCCGCCTCCTTGCTCACCCGCGGCAGCCCATGCGGAGCTGTGCGGCCACCGGTCGGGCTGCGACACCGAGCCCGAGCTTCCAGCCCAGTGCCAGAGGGAGATTCTTTCCCTGCCGGGGCCAGGCGCGCGCTGCGATCCCAGCGACGACTTGTGCGGCTTTGTGCGATCCCACGATCAGTGGGCGCATTGGGGGAGACATTTGTTGCGCCGAACGCCTGCGCCAGACTACGACATCAAGCTGCGCAACGATCGCAACCTCATGGCGGACAGGCGGTGCTATGCACAGTTCGTCCTGGACCTGTATACCTCCGGCGTCATCAGAGTCGGGGCTAAGCGCAGCGCCACGGTGGGTGCGTTCTGCGTTTGGAAGAGCGGACGGCAGCGCCTCGGGCTCCTCTTCGACACGCTTCGAGCTAATGCACGCTTTCACGATCCCGATCATTCTCAGCTGCCCAGTGCAGCAGCTTGGGCCGCGCTGCGCACAGAGCCGACTTCTTCTCTGAACAGGGCCCAGGCTGACGTGGACAGAGCTTTCTACCGAGTGAAGCTCCCTGACAAGATGGACGAACATTTCTCGTTGCCCAGTGTGCATCTGGGTACGCTCCGACAGCTGGCTGACGAGGCGGGGATCGACATGGGCTTGCCCGAGGCCCGCTTCGGCTTGCCACTCCTGCAGGTGCTGCCGATGGGGTGGTCGTGGAGCCTCTACTTCTGTCAGAGGCTGCTGGGGGCCGCCGTGCTGCGGTCAGGGATTGATACCGGTCCGCTGATCAAGGACCGGCATGCTCCTCTCCAGGTTCGCACCAGCCTGACTCAACCTGGCGTGTACGTCGACAACGTGTGCATCGTCGGCGGCGACGGCGACCGCTGTGTAACCGACTATAGCGCTGTCGTGGGCAAGCTGTAGGAGGTCGGCCTGAAGTGCAAGGGCGTGATGGAGCTGGATGACCTGCAGACCTTCACGGGCATCACCTTCGAGAGGCGCAGTGCCCGCATCGGGATCAGTGCGGCTCGGATGTGGAGAGTTCGCCTCGCGCTGCTGTTCGTGGCAGACCGCCGCTCAGCGACTCGGGGCGAGATCTCCAGCTTGCTCGGGCACTTCGCTGTGGCCGCCTTGCTGAGGCGGCCTCTCCTTAGTATTTTTCAACAGACTTACGTTTTCGCCCGGGTTGCTGGGCGCCGCCGGCTGCGGCTGTGGAGCCGCGTGGAGCTCGAGCTGCGGCAGGCGGCTGCGCCGCTGGTCTTCGCCTTCACCAACTCGAAGGAGCCCGGCGGCACCTTCGTCTGCGCCTCTGACGCCTCCAGGGGCCAAGCTGGCTCGGGAGGCGGCTGCGGCGTGGTGGGCCAGACATGGGCCACCGAGCTCGTGGGGCACACCGCGGCGTCGGCCGAGTCGTGGCGATGTTCAGTGCTGGGCGCCATCGGAGCCAGGGAGTGCGCGCCGGGCTTCGACCCGGTCGAGGGGGCCAAGGTCGGCCGGCACTGGGCGCGCGCTGGCCCCACCAGCTTCGAGGGCGTCGGACGGGCCGCGATCAGAGACTTCAGTGACTGGGGGGTCCTCTTCCATGGCGAGTTCCAGCGCGATGAGGACATCGCAGTCCTGGAGGGCCGAGCGGCAGTGATGGCCGCGCGGCGCGCTGTGCGAGGGCGCAGTGGGCGCGGCCATCGGCATCATTCTGGTCGACAACCTCGGGCTCGCCCTCGCGGTTGGGAAAGGGCGATCTCCCTCCATCACTCTCAATCACGTCTTTCAGCAGCTGTGCGGTATTTCTATTGTCACCGACACCGCCTTCATTCTCAGATGGATCCCGCTGACAAGCCCTCTAGGCTCAGGCTTCATTGCGCGCGGGGCGCCCGCGCTGACCCCCGGCATGCTGCGTGCCTCGGAGGTGCGGACGGCCCCGGCGGTCACCGAGCCCTGTGGCGGGACGTTGACGCGCTCGTGCGGAGGCGCCGCTGCCGCGGCGGCCCGACCTCGGAGCCGCAGCCCGCCGGCCCCAGCAGTCCTGGCGCGGCTGGGCTCGGGGGCGCGCTCCATGGCGACCCCTGCCCGCTCGGTGGGCTCGCGGGCCTCTTGAGCGGGCCGGGCGGTGGCGGCGCGGACTCCGACAGCTCCTCGACTTCGAGTTCCGAATTCCTCAGCGACGGGCAGTCCGAGGCCGCCACCAGCGACGGCCGAGGCGCTCCGCCTGGCCAGGGCGAAGGCTCGCCAGTCAGCCCACCGCGGCGCGCGCGGGCGAGCCCGGGCCGCGGGGCTCGCGGTCCTGCAGAGCCGGAAGGTCGGCAGCTAGCGCATCGACGGTCTACTTCCAGAAGGAGTACCTGGACTTCGTGAGTTGGGCCCGTTCGAGGGGGCTGTCGACGCTCGGGGTGCAAGCGATACTTCGATTTCCTCTTCTGGGGGGGCCACAACCACCACAAGGGGGACAAGGCCTTCGCGGCGCTGAAGCACTACAACCCGGGGTTGGGGCTGAGCTCGGCGGCGGCGCTGGAGCGGGCCACTGCTGGGCTTCGGGGCTTTCGCAAGCTCGCGAGGGGCTCGACCCGGGCCCCCGTGGCGTGGGAGCTGCTGTTCGCGGCCGTGGGCATCGCTCTGCACCGAGGTTGGCGCAGCTTCGCCATCGCCCTGGCCCTCAGCTCGGACGCGATGAGTCGGCTGCCGAGCGAGCTCGTGGCGATGACGCGCGCGAGGTTGGTCGCGCCCGCGCCTCGATCGGTCCGTACTGCGTGGAGCCTCCTGCTGTGCCCAGAGGAGCTCAACAAGGTCAGCAAGACCCTGGGCTGTGACGAGGGCGTCGTTTTTTCGGACGAGATGCCCTCCGCGCTCGGGCCCGAGCTTGCCAGGCTGGCGCGTGCGCGCACGGACCGCCAGCCGCTCTGGGACTTCGACACGACGGCCTTCAACTCCAAGTTCAGGGCGGTGTTCGACCATCTGGGCCACCAGGACTGCCACCCGTGCCAAGTGCGCCACGGTGGGGCCTCGCTTCGCGCGGCGGTGCTGGGCGAGAAGCTGGCCGACATCCAGGCCATTCTGAGGCACCAGTCGGACAACTCGACGAAGAGGTACGCCCGGCACGTCAGGTACTTCGTGGAGGTAGGCAAGCTGAGCCCCGAGGTCATTCAGTTCGGGCGGGAGGTGGACGCCAACCTGGCCGACCTGCTGCGGGGCCGGGCGCCGCTGCCGCCGCCGCCGCGGGCTCGCGCGCCGCCCTTCGCTTTGGGCGGTGCTGGCGCGGCGGCGACACCGGCGGTGCGGCGGAGGCCCTGACGGATGCTGCGGCGCGGCGGCACTGGCGTGCCGCGCGGCGGGCGGCCCTCGCTGGCTCGCGGAAGCACCAGGTGTACCTGGACCTCTTCAGTGGCACTGGCAAGGTCGCGAGCTGGCTGGAGCGGAAGTCGGGCTACGCGGTCCTGCGCATCGACGTGGCCGCCCACCCCGCTTTCGACCTCTCGCGGCGCGTGGGCGGCGCCACTGCGATAGGCTGGCTGAGGGCCCGCGTCGTGCGAGGCGTGATGTGTGCACCGCCTTGCAGCACTTGGTCTCAGGCCTCTCGCCATTTTTTCGCTCGCCTTGTGCCTTGAACGGCCTGCCAGGCCTGCAAAACAAAGCTACTGCTAGGCTTCGCATAGGCAATGCCACTTTCCATTTCGCCATGAGAACGGGCCTCGAATGCAAACGCCTCGGGATTCCTTTCGTGCTCGAGAACCCTCGGTCGTCTATGATGCGGTTGCACCCTCGCATGCTGCTCCTCTCTCGCTCCTCTTGTAAAGACGCCAATGTAGATTTCTGTCAGCGCGGTACCAGATGGAGAAGAGCTACTCGTTTCCGCGGATGGTGCACCTGCACACCGCCTCAGCCCTTGTTGCGCAGATGCCGAGGGCGAGGCGGATTCTGTAGCAAGTCTAATATCAGGCACATTTCCTTGGAAGGCGGTGGGCCCGGAGGCAAGCGATGGACTGCCATCGCCGAGCCTTGCCCTGCTTCCGTCGCCGCTGCCGCGGGTCTCTCGATCCACCGCTCCGCTGAGCGTCGTCTGCCCGTTCGTCTTGCTAGCCTCATTTCCCGCTGATGTGCAAACGTGGCCTCGCGTACACTATTTGTGTGACTGGGGTGGCGGCTGCCCGGCATCCAGTATGGTCGATGGCCCTCGTTTTCTGTTGAATGCTCGATCTCGATTGCGAAGCTCCTCGAGGTCGTATGGCAATTGCCCTCGCGCTCACCAGATCTGCGCTCTGGCAAGGAAAAAGATCGGGCGGTGCATTGAAACGTTGTCCAAGCAGCTGTGCACGCCCTAAATGCAAGCCGCCTGCGGATGGAATGGGCCCGTCTGTGATCCGTTCCATCGCCGTCTTTGCTCAAGTCCCCCTCCTCCTCTCCTCCTCCACTCTTTTAACTTGTGCGCGCCTGTTCAGTTGGCCCTCGTTTTCTGTTGAATGCTCGATCTCGATTGCGAAGCTCCTCGAGGTCGTATGGCAATTGCCCTCGCTCTCACCAGGTCTGCGCTCTGGCAAGAAAAAGATCGGGTGGTGCATATTCATATGCATCAGTATGCGTGCTATGTATGTATATATACACATATGCATACGCATCGGTTATCGTTATGTATGTTGCCCAGCGTGGGCCCCGCACAGTGTGTTTTCAACAATATATAATATAATATAATGTGCAATACATGAGGTGTACACTACATCGTGCAATCTGCGTGGTACACGATGTTGCGCATCACCGGTTATGCAACTTATGTTGTGCAATACATGTTGTTCAACATGTGTGGAGTAATCTATGTGATGCAGCATATGCTGTGCAATCTATGTGGTGCATTTTTTTGTACGACCGAGTTGGCACATTCCAGGCTCTTGCAAACATCCCACCTGCCCGCCCGCAACTTGGTTCGCAAAGCCCCTGCGACGGCGATTGCGATGAGTGCTTGGCGTTGGCTGGTGCATCTCTGCGGCCGCGCTAGCCCGCGCATGCTCGCGCACGCAGCGACCAGTTAGTCTGGCGCGACCGACGCGGCCGCGGTGGCGTTGACCGCTGGGCACATCCCAGCGGGCACTTCAGTGGGAGTCGGTGACTTGGACGGGCGCGGTACCATGGCGACGCCGACGACGGTAGACACAATCATTGGTGGAGCGATGATGATGACGGTGGTGGCGATGACGACGGCAAGGCCAATGATGGCACCGATGTTGTCGCGCCCGCCGATAATGATGACGATGTCCTCGCGTTGGCGATGCAAATTCCAAAAAAAAGTTCGACGTGCACGCGCGGCCGACGCGCGCGAGTGGTCCGCCTGGTTTTATTCGACGCGGGTCGTGCCCCTCCCCCCCAGCGCGCGCGCAAGTGCGTTCGAATGATTGCGACGTGCGGCGCGAGAGGCCTGGTTGGCACAAATTGATGAGCATGTTGAAACCCAATGGTTTGGAATGGCAAAGTCGCGAACTCAGTTTTTTCCCTTCAAACATGGGTGTTGCAAGCCATGTTTCTAAGGTGGTTTCGAGACACTCGTTTTTGAACCCGTTGCGGAACTGAGGATTTGTTGAAGGATTTCGGCATGGGCGAAAATGCGCGCGTGCGTATGTCGTCCCATTGTTTTTGCAAAGGGTTTTTGCGACAGCACGCGCGCAATGCCGTTCCAACGATGTCGACAGTTGCGCGCGGGAGGCCCGCTTGGTAGCTGTATGAAAATGTTGGCATGACATATTTTCCGGAATTCGCAACAGCGCGGGCGCAAATACGACGCGCGCGCGTGTACTTCGTCTTGTTTTTGGCAAAAGGATTTTTGACAGTTGTTGGTTTTTGATAAACGAGTGTGCGCGCATAGTATTTGTTGCAGAGGATGAAGGGGGGAACCGATACCGGCTTGCTTGGGATGATATGAATTCATTTTTCGGATGGACGATGGGGTAGAATTTTATGTAAATTGTAATACGAAGTGGTGGACCGTTAATGCCGGGGGGGTCGATCTCAACATTTTTCCAAAAGGGTGGTGCGCTCTACGTTATGCAATCTTCGCGGTTCAATTTATGCGAGGCGGCGACAGGGCCGCGACGGCGAGCACGGACCCGCCAGGCTAGGCCCAGACGACAAGCGGGGACGAGGCGGCGACGGGGCGGTGACGGCAAGCACGAGGCCGCCAAACGGACAACCAGGCCAAGACGACGGGCGGCGACGAGGCGGCGAGCACGGAACCGCCTGACCGACAACCGCCGCCAATTCCCCAGAACAGTCAAGAATTCCGAAGTGCAATCGCTGTTGGGGGAACATGCACATGTTTATGTATATGTAAATATGTAGGTTTATGTTTATGTTTATGTTGGTTATTTGTATGTATAAGTGTACGGGCATATTCGCTTGTGATTTTGCGACATGCGCATACGTATATGTGTAGGTCGTGGTTTACTTCTTTGTATACTTACTTACGTTTATGCGTTCGTATATGTGCATGTACATATATATATATATATGTGTATATGTAATATATACATATACATGTGTTTATTTATTTATTTATTTATATATGTATGTATAATGTATATGTATGTTTATGCGTACCGGACTATCCTACGCTTATATGTTTATGATTGCATATACGTACATGCGAAGACCTCACATGTAGATGTGCGTGTTCAGTTGTGTACATACATATCCACATCCGTCCATATGGTTTAGGCAAATGCAAATGCTTGTGATTCCATTTGTTGTACTTACATGTGTCTGAACATTTTTACGCGTGAATATCTATATATCTATATATCTATGTATATATATACAAGTGGCCCGTGTGTGCCCAGGCTCATACAACAAGCTGAAGGGGCGTTTGAAGCAGGAGTGACATGCAACAGCGAAGTCGCACTCGAGCGCAAGTGGAGTTGCCACACCTTGCGATGTGTGTACCAGGGCCCCCCAGGAAGCCTCAGGAGGCCCGACTTGGATACCAGAAGAGGCTCCAGGAGGCCCCAGGCTTGTGAGTGTTGTGTGTGTGTGTGATGTGTGCTTTGTGTGGTGCGTGCTTTTTGTGTGTTGTCGGTGTTGTGTGTGTGTATGTTATGTTTGTCTAGCGTGTGATGTGTTGGGCGTGATTTGTGTCTCTGTGTGTGTATGTGTGTGCATGTAGGGGAGCGAGCGCCCTGGGGCTCTCGCTGTGGGGGTGCCCTGCCCCCTCGACTGGTGTTGCCTGCCCCTCTTCCCTCTCCCCCCTCTCGCGCTCAGCTCCCCTCTCCTGGGCCTCTGATGGCGTGGGGAGCCGAGCGTGCAGCCCAGACCCCCTCCGAGGTCCCGAGTCAAAATCACGACGGGCGTTTTGTCGGTATTTTCGGCCCCTGGGGGCCCTACCGGGCCTTGGCACCGTCCAAGAACAACTCAGGCTGAACAACTGGTCCCAGGGAATGGGCCGAGTCCTCTGGGGGTCGAGGTTATAAACAAATCATGATCTTGACCTCGGGGGTCAGGAAGGTATGGGTGGGTGTCCAGCCATCCGACGTCGTGGTTGTTTTAACACGGGGTCCCCCAGAAGTCCGACGCTTTTGCAGGGGTCAAGTTTGCCATCTTGAATCGTGTCCTGTCGGCCCTGGTTCGCGAAGCTGGCCTCCAGGTGCAGAAGATTGCGCAAAACCTCCGCCTCGATGTTTTCTCAAGACGCTGGAGGTCCGGGTTTGCCGTTTCCCAATGACTGGCGGGGGGGTGGGGGATGGCCAGAGGCTGGCATCAGGTACAGACCCTTCCTCTCCTGTCCTTTCCTCCGGCACCACAGGTGGCCGAACAAAGGCCCATGCAGCTCGTGAGTCCGCACAGTCCTGGCCACAGGTGGCACCTTTTCACGTGCATGTGTCGCCCAACCGAACCGGCTGTCTTTTACTTGATGCATCTCTGGCTTTAGAAGTCCCCCTGAAACACTGCAGACGAACGAAGGGCCAGCGAAGGGAGGCGGGTGCGCGCGAGCAGCACTTCCGCGCAGGACATCATGCACTTCGGCCCCACCGCGCCGCCGCGGAGCTTTCTGCGCCTGGGTCCCACGCCGCCCGCGTACGGGGTGACGCGCCTGGGCCTGACGCCGCCCATTCTGGACACGGCCTCGGCTGGAAGGGGGAGCGGGAGGGAGGGAGGGAGGGAGGGAGGGATGTGGGAGGAGGCAGGCGAGAGAGGAATGATGAGGGAGGGTTCGGTAGCAACTCACGGGAGCCCTGTATTGTATAGGCGTACGCTAGCGCCTGGTTATCGATGAGAAAGCGCCGATTTAGCGTCGACTAGCGTCGGTTTAGCGTCGATTCGCGTCGGTTCGCAAGAGCCAGCAGACGGTATGGGAGACTCCTATGAGTTGCCACAGAAGGGAGGAGAGAGGTGGGAGGAGGAATGGGGACCCGAGTGCAGCCATTAATTATTCAGGGCATGCGGTTTTCCTGGTCTGCCTGGGCCTGCTTCAAGCACGGCTGTCTACCGCTAGTATTCACGCTGGGGGCTCTGTGATTGCGTTCGGGTGCTCATTGTAACTATGTTCTCGTCTTTCCTTTTAGGAAAACGTGGAGAAGTGGAGGAGCCAGGTACGAACGCGGGGGTAGACATACGTTTTGGGCCTTGGGGGTCGAGATCTGCCGGAACCCGCGCACATCGGCCGCGCAAGCGATCACATCTCGAATGTGGTGACTGAGAAAGTCTCGGAGTGAAGCCATACACCTCGACTCGCCTTCCCTGAACTCGGGAGGGAGAACGGGCAGCGACGCGCCGCCTTCTTGGCACTCGGGCGAGGCGCCTCCCACCGTACGAAATGAAGAAGGCCGCCGCAAAAGGCAAGATGTTGAACGACCAAGGCCGGACTCCTCCTCCTCCTCCTCCTCCCGCCAGCGGGTGCTTGCTGGGCCAGGGCGCGTCCGTGCGCGCCCGCACGAGCCCCGTCACAGTGAAACGCGATCTCAGCGCGCCTGACGGGCCCCAAAGCAGCTACAGGGTGTAGATACGGCGCTGCGCGTGCAGGTTTGCCCTCTCGCAAGACATTGGAGCACTGGTCGTAGTCACAGTCCAGTCCAGTCCAGCCCAGTTCAGTCCAGTCCTCCTTGTCCTCCTCCGCGTCCTCGTCGTCGTCGTCCTCCTCCCTCCTCCTCCTCCCTCCTCCTCCTTTTCCTCCTCCTCCTCCTCCTCCGTCCCCCCTTCTTCTTCTTCTTCTCATCCTCCTCCTCCCCTCCTCCTACTCCTCCTCCTCCTCCTCCTCCTCCCTCTCCCTCTCCTTCTTCTTCTTCTTCTTCTTCTTCTTCTCCCGAGGAGGAGGAAGAGGAGGAGGAGGAGGAGGAGGAGGAGGAGTGGAGTGGAGAGGGATGGTCAGGGTTGCAAGAAGTCATGATAATGGTAGTCATGATTGTGGTACGGTCCAAGATTTCGCCCCCCCTCCCCTCCCTCACTTGCGGCTGCTCCCTTCGGGCCAGACGGGGGTGAGACTCGTGCGCAGCCTAATACTTGCCGGCTTGTTTGTCCCTTCTCCCGAGTCCGGGGCCATTGCACGATTTTGCTTTCCGTGCCCTCTGGTCGCCACTGCTCAGCGCGATGGGGATAACCCCCTTGAGGGGCAGCGGATCGGGCGGTCTTTGCGCTGGAAAGAATTGTATGTTCCAAGATTCCCAAGATTCCCAGGATTGTCAAGATTTCCTACTGCTCCACACGGGCTGCAGAAACGAGGGCCGCTAGACACTCTGGACATCTTGGAACGCGTCCTGAGCCAATCCTATCATGACATTACCCTCGTTCTAGATCCTAGATGGTCAAGGAAACGCAGACATTCAAGGCACCTGATGTAGCGATGAGCCCCGTTTCAGTACAGAACCGGTGCGCTCCGTCGCCAAATCGGGCCGCCTGGCGCCGTCATTCGGGGGGCACTTTCCCCCATCCGTGGATTCCTCTCGCTTCGCAGGGTGCACGCCCAGACTGTGTAGAGTATGGTTCCAGCTCCGCTGGACACACGGGACTCCTCTGGGCTTCCGACCAGCTCAACCGATTACTTTTCAACGGTCAAGAAATACCATGCACGTATCACAGAAATTTGCGAATGTTCAGAGGAAGCAGTTCCCGCTTCCGAACTACAACAGGAGCGTTCGGAAAGGCTGACAAAACTCGTCGCCATCCTCGTTCAGTTACAACCTTTTCCCAGGGAAACCATCACTTTGTTGTGTGGCGAACCCCATTCAAAGTTGCGTCAGGTCTGCGAAGACGGATCGGCGCGGTCTCCGCGTTCAAATGCACCCCTCGATTCGGGGGCCCACTGCCACTCGGAGGAAGGTACGTCGCCGCAGCCCAAGGGAGCTGCCTTCGAGTGCAGACGACAGATGGAGGTTCCCGAACGCAGAATATCGACCGATGTCAACACAATGGAGAGCATCGTCGATGCAAGCTCTGATCAGGGCGTCCGACCTTGCCGACGAAGTTTGGCACCTTTGGTTAGAATCCGAGGGGAAAAAGGAGGTTGTCCCAGGCGGCTCAGCCGCTGTGGGGTGTAAGAACAGATCATCCGTACACCTTGGATCATTTAGGTTCATAGTCGGCACGGGCTTTGGACACAATCTTATCGCAGAAAAAATATTCGTGCTGCAGGCGCAATGGGCATGATCAGGCGACTTGAGGAGTCGATCACCCTGAACACTGCTGGGGGTTCTTCACGGGCCCTAGGTTCAGTTTGCGTCGCGTGCCCCAACTTCAGGGATGCAAATTTTGAAGCACTGGTCCTGCCGGAGACACCGGCAGTTATCTCAGCAGGAGAGCGGTGCATGGATCACGGTTTACGCTTCTTTTCTGGCCAGCAGGCCAGCGACCCTATTTACTTCTGCCCAGCGGTCACAGAGTGGACCTGTTCGTTGAGGGGAAGATACCGTACTTGACCTTATCTGGCAGAGAGGCGCTGCGTCAGTGGATGCGTGCAGCTGCTGCTAGGAAGCCTGCAACGCCCGAGCGGTGGTTTGGCGTGACGTCCGGCGCCAAGACATGTCAGGATGATGTGGAATCCGCGGGAGGCCCTCCGCCCCAATCAAGTCAGAGTCGCGTAACCGTAGATTTGCGCACACAAGAGATGATTGGTAACCATGGCTACGCGGACGGCAGACCGTCTGTGCCTGTGATTCCATCCTCGTCCGACGTAGACTCCATGGATATCGTCGCGCATTTCTATTATATGATTCATAGAGCTCGTGCATGCGGTTGGGCTCGAAAACCTACCGGCGTCATCAGGTTAGTGAGTCCATCTTGTCCCAATAACGACTCGGTCGTTGGTTGTGCTACATCGCGCCGCGGCCTAGCCGGAGGCTGCGCGGCTGTGCGTCAGAGCCCTTGCCTATACGGAGTTTCAGGATTTTTGCTCCATGATATAGATCAAGGGCTCGATTCCAACACATCCGCTGCAGCACCTGGCCAGAGGGGGGATGCAGATGAGGGCTCGGGCGGCGTTGACCTTGTCGACGTCGACGTGCCGCCCGATCCCGCCCCAGGCGATGCAGAGGTTGAGGTGTCAGTCTCAGCGACCGAGCGACTCAGAAAGAGCGCGGCCTCCCTCGCGCATTTGCTAACTCGCACCCCGAAGAAGTATTTCTGCTCGGCATGCAATTGGGCGAAGGCATTACGGCGCCAACGAAGGAACGCGCAACGAAGGGCTACATGTACTTCCATGCTCGAATCCCGTCGCGTTCGGGCACCTGGCCACCGTGGATCATTGGCTTACGATGGATGACCTATCTCGGGCGCTCCACGCTGAGACCGCGTGTGTGACTTTTCGCGACCAGGCTACAGGATTCCCTGCGGTTCAGGGTGCACATGATAAATCAGCGGCTCACACGTGCAAATTGTTTCATCAACCTTAAATCTCCGGGAGAGAAGTTGGGGTGCAGCTGTACTGACGGTGCCAAGGGGCTCGCGCGTGCGTGCGTCGAATTAGGGATAGCGCATGGCCCAGCCATCCCGGCGAACAAAAAGCTTCCGGCTGTCGCTGAACGGCGCAGCGGGGTCGTTCAGATGGGGGCCCGAGCCCTATTGATGCAGGCCGGCCTTCCCCCGCCATTTTGGGCGTGCGTTGTTCGATATTTTTGCCTTTGTTATGGCGCGTGGATTTCCGGGGAGGGTGATTCATCTTGGAAGCGCAGTTCGGGCGCGACTTTGCTGCTCCGCTCCTCCCCTTCGGATCCCTCGCGCGCTTCGCGCCCCCTCCGGAATCTCGATTTCGGATCGCCAATCCGGCGGGCCGATGGTCGACGGGATTCACTTCGGATATGCACACAAAGCGGGGGTCGTGGTAGGGCCCGGGAGGCGCGTGTCGCCACTGGGGCAACTTGGCGGACTCAACGTGGAATCGGGGCCCGCGCCGGCAGGCAAACCCCCAATTCACGAGTAGTCTGATCAGGTCTACAGCAATATGTTGGATGGCGCTGCGACTGACCAGGGGCCCAAATTCCCTATGGGAGAGAAGCATGCGAAAAAAGCCCAGACTGAAGTCAAAAACGTTATGCCACCTCACTGCCGGCTCAGCTGGGCAGGGGGCCCGATCGGGGCCCGAATGGGCTCGCAGACGGCCCCGCTATATAGCGACGGAGACCCTGGCGAACCGACGCCGCCGCCCCCTCCAGGGGGCGAGGCCGCGCCACTTTCAGATCCTGAGGACGAGTCCAACGATGGCGGTCCGGGGGGGGGGGGTCGTCGTGGACGACGCGCCTGCGGCGCCGGGCGGTCGGGGCCACGGGCGAGATTCGAGGCCAGATATTGACCGAAATCAGAAGCTTGGTCTCGCACATGTTGAGTACCGGTTCAGCCGAGATCGAGAGTACCTGGGCCAGGTCAGCTTCTCGCTCGCACCGAGCAAAATCTCGACGCAATCGAATGCTTCGAAGATCGGCGTGTCGTTGCCGGGCTCACTAGGGATGAGCTAACAGAGAAATTCCCGCTGAAAGGGCGACGGAAAACGTGTAGCATTCGAGTCGTGTTGTACTACGATCCAGATTATCTACCCATCACCAGAGTATGGGTCACTGACCCTAACCCATTATATGGTGCTCAATGGTCAAAGAAATTGCCGGGCTCCACCAACCCCGGGGGCGACCCGAGTCGACG